CGACATTTTATGTCACGTCAGCTTACCTCACCTTATGTCATACCATATCGTTTCGCGTCACGCATCCTTATGTCAAGTAAAATTTTACCTGAAAATGATTTGTTTTACAGGAGCCGGAACCTCGGCAAGGATGTATTACGACACCACTCTACAGGGAGCCTTCTCTCGAGGCTTAAAATGTCACTCGAATGACCTGTCAAAAAGAGAAAAACTGATACGGTTGATCGCCAAGTATTTGCACGAGGATTATCACAGCATCTTTTACGGAAAAGCACAGAACCTCGGTCGAGAGCTTTGCAAGGAGTACGATGCGGTTCTTGAAAAATACGATGTGTTGATTCTGCCAACCATACCCAAGAAGGCGCCAGTTTTCCCACAGGAAAATCCTCCTCTGAAAGGTCTGATTTTTGGCATTTCATTATATTCATTTCAGATAATGAATTTGTAATAATAATTTTCAAAACTTGGAAAAGGGTAAGGAAATGAGCATAACCCAATGAAAATGGGGAGAAGACTCCAGCGACAATGGGAGAAAAAAGTTAGGCGATCAGTTCACATGAAATAACCATCAATGTTAAGACATATCTGGCCTCTTATTTTGCAGAATATTTGGCAAGGGCTTCTGAAAGTGCTCCCAACACGTCAGCAACTAATGTCACAGGTCACCCAGCTCTATCAATCAACGCCGGCTTCAGTGAAGGCTTACCAGTCGGTATGATGATTGTGGGAAGAAAATTTGACGAGATCACTGTTCTGAATGTTGCTTACGCTTACGAAAAGATCAGGGATGCATAAAAGATAGGATTGTGAAATCACGGTCTATCAATAGAACCAGAACTACAAGATTTTTTGAAACCTTTTAGAATAGAAAATGATTCGATTCATAACAAAGGTCAAATCATCACACTGTGGAAGTAAAATCTTGTACAAAAATCTGTTTTAGTACATTTTAGCAGGTGGATAATGAGAATTCTGAATCCGTTTTGAAGGACAAATGTTTTGGAATTTGTCGATCTACTAGGGATTTTTGTTTAATTTATTATTTGCTCGAGAAAAGTGCAAAAGTACCCAGAACTACTTAATACTTAGCAGTGCGTACAAGATATCTGATAAGAGTGGTGCTGATTTATCCATTTGAACACCAAAGAATTTTCGATTCGTTTTATGTTACGTTACCCAGGAGTTTTTAAAGGAAATCAATATCTAGTGTTTTTTTTGGAGGAATTGCGAAGGTGCCTCTCCATTAGAACTTTCCTGAAGACTGCGAGAAAGAGTAGTCACATAAAGCGGCCATGTGAATATCGTCCACTTGTGGCTGAAAACTGCTTTTCAGTACACTATTTTTGTTCAAAATTACCTCAAAATGTTATAGATATTGTGCCAATGCCAGTCCAATAGCGGAAAACTTGTAAAATGCAAAGAAGAGCTCTGACAAAAAATAACTTCAAAAGACGCCCGCCTTAATCGCAAAAGGATTTCGCCAACAGAGTAAGCAGGTACATTTCACTGATGCCTTATACTTTAATTTATTCTTTTAAGATACACCTGTTTTCTCAAATTGCAATGACACAGATAATCACTTAACAGCTGAAACTTGCACAACTACCGCACGTTAGTAAGATTTTGTAGGCATCACAAGACCCGGATGATACGCGCCATTACCGGATGTAGATATTTCCATGAGGGTTGATGACATTGGTGAGGTGGTTCAGACTGTTGGTGCCACAAGGCTCATGGGTAGGCCAGTTACCAGTGCGTGTGTTAGACTCGAAGTAGTAATACTCCTTTAGCCATGAGCTGCTTTGAGATCGTATCAGACCTGGGCCAAGGGTGGAACCTGCAGGATTCCCAGCAGCATGAAGAATGAGTTTGTCGGGGACGTAATTATGCCATTTAGAAGCGACGTTCTTTATTATACGGCATAGAACACTTCCGGTCTTGAATTCTACCAGACTTCCACTTCCTTCTTTACATGCGATCCAGTGGTTGATGTTGGATTTCACCATGAACTCACTGCCGAGAAACTTCCACAGGTTGAAGTCCATGGCGTTGTAATCTAACTCACTAACAGGAGGAGTGGTTGATTGGTGGACATTCCCAACGTGATTGGATATTGGCCAGTTTGGACGTGGTGTAATCGCATTTGAGTCATGTCTGAATGCCCTGTTGAATAAATAAAAATAGTTCAGTAAATAAATGAAGAAATAAATGAATAATCAGACAGATAAATAAACAGGATAATAAATAAATAAATGAAGGGATAAAGAACCACCGGAAGTTTGTAAATGTGTAGCTATACACTAATGTCCAGCCTCCGCCATTCGTTTCCTGGTCGCAGTAGGCCTGTACTATTTGGCCCCCGCCCGGTTTAATCCAGTTCACACCGGAAGCTGCATCTTTCCGTTTTTCTTTGATATCTTCACATGACTTCGCTGGGCATTTTTTGATCAGGCCTGTAGAGAAACGCATATAATAATATAATTGAGATGTAATGTTACGC